ACAATTCCAACTGATTTTCCTTTGAAAAATATCATTTATCTCAATATTCAAAATATCACTTTTAATCACTCATATATTCTAATATGAAGAAAAAGTATATTTCAACATATGTTTCATAATAAATTCCACTTTCAAGTCAACATACTCATAACACATGAACATACACAATTTACTCTTAAATTTGTATATCATGCTCCCTTTTTCTTTAGACATTTAGTCTCTTCATTTCTAGGCATTATTAATCATTAATAATCCATAAAAACACTTTTAATTACCTTCGGTAATCTCATGAAATTAACTCACTAATTATAAGCAATATAGTCAGCCATCCTCACCTTATGATGTGCTGAAATAGTTGCCTTTGTTGAGCTTCCCGATAAATCCTCGTTTTAAACCAATGAAAAGGCAAAAACTGGACTGCCTGAGCAAAAGCCGGGCGGCTTTCACGAAAGCCGGGCGGCTTTCACGAAAGCCGGGCGGCTTTCGTAGTCTGCAGCTACGAACAGCTCCTTTGGAGTGGCGATTTCCGGCGGTTTCGACTCCTATCGATTTGCCAACCCTTCTAAGTTAATTACCACCACTTTATAACAATATTCTACACTTTTAACCGTGTAGAACTCAAGGTTTAATCCACCATATGATTTCTTACAAATCATACTCCATAAAACTAGTTAAAGAACAATAGTTATGTTCTTACCTTGAATCCTAGCTCCTTTCTTCTTGGATTTTCTCCCTTCTTGATTCCTCCACGTTTAAGCTTGGTGAAGAACCTTTTTCCCAGAGCTTCTCTCCCTTGAACTTGGCTTGTGCGGATGAGGCAATTGATTGAGGAGGCAACTCTTGCAATCAAGCCACAAATACACACCAAGGATGGGACATGGGGCCTTTTGTGTGTAGACTTTGTCTCTAGGGAGCTTCCTTCCAGCTCTCCTCTTGCAAATCAGATCACAAAAAACGTGGGGTGGCCCCCACTCATGTGGGAGGTCATCCCAATATGTCCCGGTATGTATAATCGGCCCCGAAAGTTGTATTTCTCAGACTATTTTAATCATATTTTATTTTATCGGGCCAAATAAAATATGTCACGTGTCCCTAATACTTATGGGCCTTTAGAATAGGTGTACATTCCCCAACATTAATTTAGGAGTCTCCGAAACTCATTTCGGGCTGTTATCCGCTGAATTATCAATACCGGTAATTGGGCCTCGTTTGACCCCCGGTCAACTCCGTGCCTTTCCTATGGCCCAAATAGAATATTCACAACCATATAAATGTCACCTTAGACCAAGATGAATATAATATGTGGTTCGGGAATTATCGGGCGGTCCCCGTCCCGCTGTGGGCCCCACATGCAATTTACTATTCACGTAAAAGAAATAATAAAAATTTACAATTACGCAAATTCATAAATCATCTTTCAAGGTTTATTAGATAATTTAATAAAAGTAAATATGCTCGGGGTCGGTGTTACATATTGTAGTAATCAGTTAGACTTAGGTTATCCGGAACCAAAGCATAAATTTGCTTATGCAAATCAAAAATTCGTGGCAGATTACCTTGAGAGAATCTCTCGTTTAGTGTATTCCACATTCGAGCTGTAGATTCTTCATACAGAATGCATTGAGCAATCTCCTTAGTGCAGGAGTTCAGAATCTAGGATTGTACCATTAGGTCACTTCTCTCCCACATTTCGAATGTTTCATCTGATTCATTTGGTTTTGCAATTGATCCATTGACCAATTTCATCTTGTTCTTGGCTCCTAATGCCATTTTTATTGACTTGCTCCATGAATGAAAATTGTTTCCATTCAGGTGAGGACTTACAAGGATCGTATTTGGATTGTCTCCAGAACCAACATAAAACGGACTGGAAATATCTTCACTTGCAGATTTCGGCATGGTGATGATGATCAAGATCAATTCAACTCATGCATCGAAGAATTACAATGAAAATCGCTCTGATGCCATGTGGAATTCAGAGATATGATTCATAGATGCAAAAGGAAGATATGCTTCGTACGAAAGAGGAAGAAGAACTAGAAAGTGTTTCCATTCATTTGTTACACTAGAAGAGAATGTACAAGCCCTATATATACAAATTACAAGAAAGTATCTTAACTACTCTTGTAACAAAAATAACTAACTAAGAAGTTTCTAGTAGCTACTACATTCTTCAATTTTCACGTATGCATGAACATCATTCGGCTTCTTCTACGTGTGCACGAGTTACTTTGTTGAGCATGGATGTTTAGTTCACGTTATTGGGTTTGTATCTGCATGTGCATGTTTATTATGTCAAGAAAGCGCTAGACAAGGCAATGCAATCCATTTCCCAAGTTCAGCTTGAACTACATTTGCTACCAATTTTATTACTTCTTCTTTCCAGCCTTGGCTGCATCTCCCGCCTTTGTCTTCTTCACTCCTCTGATTTTCTTAGATCGGTTCTCCCGTTCCTTCATTTGCTTTCTTGACTTATCAACTTTAGTATCCAACCCATTTCTGATGAGTCTATACTTTGGCTCGAATTTCTTTGCATTCTCAACAAAGTCATAGATCAAACCAAACCCAGTTGATTTACCTCCTCTAAAGTGAGTCATGAACTTGAATACGAATATGGCGTTGGAATCCTTTACTTCATACATCCTTGCAAGGTTCTCTTTTAGCTCCGCCTTGGAAACATTAGCCTTTCCAAGATGCAGAACGTTGATCACGAATTGTTTCCTTAAGAGAAGGCGATTTGTCATGACTCATGAATTTCCTCGTCCTGATGGTCACTGCCTTTTGAATACAAATATGGCGTTGGAATCATTTACTTCATACGTCCTTGCCAGGTTCTCTTTTAGCTCTGCCTTGGAAACATTAGCCTTTCCAAGATGCAGAACGTTGATCACAAATTGTTTCCTTCAGAGAAGGCGATTTGTCATGACTCATGAATTTCCTCGTCCTGATGGTCATTGCCTTTTCCGCCATTTTGTTGCACACCTGCACCGCCCTTGGAATTGCTTCGCTTAAGCTCTCTACTCCGGTGCCTTCGTTCAGGACCAACACCTCGACATTCTCCACCCCGATCTCAAATTGAGTTGGCGTGTTAAAATGTTGTCGTGCATCGATTATATATGATTATGGACTATTCTTCTTATCAAATTAATTTTTAGGATGAAACTTTGGATTTTAACATATCTCTATCAACTATTACTGTTCGAGTTTTTTTTCAAACATTAAGTGCCTATTTACTAACAAAGATATTTTCAATTTTTTTTCTGTTTTCCGTTCTCTAATTTTTTCTGTTTTCATTTTCCAGATTTTGTATTCAATTTTCTGTTTTCATTTTCAGTTTTAAATTTTCAAATCTATAAACATGTTTATCATTTTTTCTCACACGGGTTTGTGACTGACCAAAAGAATGAAAGTATGGTCCCGACCTAGAAACCTAGTACAAATCGAGTAGGATACCAGGTCCCGCGTATAGGAAAGTCGAGACTGAAACTGGTCGCTCCTTGTCGATCCCAAATATTTGTTTGACTAATTCTTTTCCCTTTTTCCCTATTGGTTGACAACTCAACGAGTCTTTTAAAACTCTTCACTTAAAAAATGATTTTAAAAACGGATATCGAAACGCTGGATCATTGACTGGATCGAATAGGGACCACCGAGTCATTGATAGGATCAGTTCAGGAGCGCCGAGTCATTGACAGGACCAGCCGCTTGTCAACCAGACCGAACAGAGACCGCTAGGTCGTTGGTTGAACAGGTCGGGGACCACCGTGCGGTTGAGCGCATAGTACGTAGACCACAGGGTCTTTGACTGGATCAGACGGGGACCACGTGTAGTTGATCGGACCGCATCGGACCGGTCAAACCCGGACTGCCCGACCGTCGACCGGACCGAACAGGTACTGCCTGATCGTGGATCAGATCAGACATGGACTATTGGGTCGTTGACTGAACCAAACAGGGATCACCAGATCGTTGACTGGATCAGATCGAGAGCATCGGGTCATCAACCAGACCGGACTAGGACTGCTTGACCGTTGACCGAACCAAGTAGGGACCGTCGGGTCATTGACCGGACCGGACCGCCGGGTCATTGACCGGACCGGACCACCAGGTCATCGATCAGACCGAACATGTACCTCCTGATCATGGATTAAACCATACAGGGACCGCCGAGTCGTTGATCGAACGAACAAGGACCGTCGGGTCATTGATCAGACGGGAATTGCTCAGTGGTCGATTGGACTGAACAAGGACCGCCGGGTCGCTGACCAGACCAGATAGGAACCTCAAGGTCGTTGACCGGATCGAACTAGAACTGACACCGAAGCGGGACCAGATCCACCACTAGTCGTAAGTATGCAAATTCATTGAGTGGCATAGCAACATCTAATTTTTTCAAATTTGAAAATCTACTCCCTCCGGTCCTAAATAAACTTCACACTTTCCTTTTTGGGTAGATCCAAAATAAACTTCACACTTCTTCTCCCTTCCATATTTGGCAAATTGTCAAGATCAAAACAGTGCAAAACAGTGCAAAACAGTATCAAACACTGTCACAACAGTGTACTCTACACTTCTTCTTCATTTATGACCACACATTAGGGGGTGCATATAAGAATGAGGTACATTTTAGAATATCTTTGGCATTTCTGTTTTTTATTACTACGTATTATTGTCATACTCCTTCCGGTCCCAAATGAAATTCACACTTTCCTTTTTTGGTAGATCCAAAATTAACTTCACACTTCTTCTCCCTTCCTTATTTGACAAATTATCTACATCAAAACAGTGCAAAACAGTGTCAAACGGGGTCAAACAATGTCAACAGTGTCATAACAGTGTACTCTACAGTAAAGTCAAATTTATTTCATTAATTTATGTGGAAGTAAAAGTGTGAATTTCATTTGGGATGAGGATGGAGAATATGAAATCATTTTTACGTTTTTTTATTCGAGAAGCCGTCCTTCAACAAAAATCAAGAAGCCGTAGACGTGGAAAAAGCTACGTAGTAAACGATAGGCTTTTGGATGAGGCGCCTGAACGCCGAGCAACAATCGAGCACTCAGATTCATGGCGCACCCTTCACTCCGTCCCTTTATCTCTCACAAGTGGACGGTCACGCTCACCTTTCAGCCGTCTCTCCATAAACGAGTCTTTCTTTCAACTCATTGCATACTTCGGTTCAGCAGTCTTTGTAGAAGAACATATGCCAGAACAAAGCATCATGGGCTTGCGACTGGTTTTGCGAAAACGGGTCATGGTACAATAATTCCCTAACTATGCTGCAATGCAAAGTTCTCAACGTTGCACTTTTATGGAATTTGCTTTCTTTAGATTTGCAATCCTTAATAAATGTTGGATTCCATGTTTTCAGTTCAAATTTTCTTTATCTGTACGGTCGCATTTTCCAGGTTTTTAATCTAGCAGGATCTCTTTTTCACTCATGCCGCCCCAAAAATGTGATCTTTTTACTTGCTTCGTTTTGTTTGTCAAATTCTTAAAATTGAAACCCCTGCAGGCAATATTTGGTAATTTGAAAGAATTCGTAGCATTACTGCTCAATTGATCTTAGCGAGGTGTCCCCAAAATGGATTTTAAATGATTTTAAAGGATTGTAGATTCTATGGATTTTAATGGAATTCTATAGATTCCATGAGATTCACACGGATTTTAATAACAATCGGCTATATATATGCACTTGAAACTCGATGGATGAACTGGGATCACATAGGAAACTACCCCACCCTTTTCAACGCCTCTGGTTTTAAAATGCCATTAATTTAGTTCAATGTCATGCACGTTTATATCCTCATATTTGGTCGTTGGGTACTTGGGTGATATGACGTTAAGGACTTACCAATATAGGGTTTGGTTATAATATAGTATGATACGTAATTAAGATAGGATGGGAGAAGATGAGCAGACTAAGATTGTATATATTGATTTATTTTTTTTATTTTATCTAGACAATATTTCCATCATTTGCAATGGAGCCAAAGATTCATTATTTTTTGACTTGAGATTATGATGGAATAAAGCAAAATGACTCACTAAACTGTCTGCGCTTCTTTGTTATGGAGAAGCAGTCATTCCATGCAATTTTGGACGCGATTTTCACTATGGGTCATCCGGAAACAGACTCTCTGTGCTTTAGTACATGGGTAAGACTGCGTACATCCGACCCCCCTTACCCCACCGTAGGTGGGAGCCTTTGCGGCACTGGGGTAAATGAAAATGATGATGATTTTATCTAGACAATGTAGGACAGAACACTGCATGTAAGATAACTCAATGAAGACAATGCACTTCTTCCGGCCACTGAAATGAAATTTTCAGTTTTGCAGGATTTGACAAAAAAAGTTACTACTATGAGTACTATCCCCAGTTTGTCAATTTTATTGGATCCTGGAGTGAAACTCGAGACAACAATAGCTGTATGTCTTTTATTTGTTCAAGTTGCATGTCCGATGCCTTTGTATGGTTTGGAATCATTAGGCCTTTCACCTGCTAAGGCAGTACTCTATTCTCCAGAGACCAAACTTCCCAGAACAGGTGAATTGGCTTTGAGAAGAGCAATCCCTACAAACACCAGTATGAAAGCTATACAGGTCTTTCACGATTCTGAGTGGTCCTACGGTGTGTTCGGTCTAAATGATTACCCATAATTTTTTTAGTTATTAATTGAATTCTCTCTCTCTCTCTGTTATAGCAATCCCTTGAGGACATTTCATACTTGCTACGGATTCCACAAAGAAAACCATATGGCACAATGGAGAGTAATGTCAAGAAGGCTCTTAAGGTAATGCATACGTTTTGCATTAATTAGATGAGGATGAGCATATATGTTGGACAGTTGGAGATCATCTAATGAAAGAAATATAGGCTAAGAGCTTGCTTATTCATATTAATAAATGAAAAGGTGTAAACTCTTGCGGTCTTGCAACTATTTATCCTGTCAGGCAGGCTGGGCCCATTTGTGATCTTTATTACCACATCTGTATCTTTTGGATTGTTATTTAGTTAGTGCATAGTGGGCATGATGGGCTCTGGACTTGTGGCATATTAGTTGTGAAGAGATGAAGGCTAGAAATAGCCGTATTCTATAGTTAACTGTTCAAATCTCTTTTTTCTTCTTTCTGCATTTCAGATTGCAACTGATGAAAAGGAAGCCATATTGGGTAGCATACCAGTTAATTCTAGAGAAAATGGTTCATTCTTGTATGCATCTCTAATTGAGGGGAAGGTAATCTATATGATATTCACCTTCATTGTATGGGGGTATGAAGATTAACTTATTAGTCTTAATTGTATGTTTTTGAGGAATATCTAGACTTGAAGTTTCATTGACTACCCTACATATGCAGATGCTACTATAATGAAATGGCATTTTTCACTTGATGGTCAGGATGGATTGCAAGGCCTTATAGAGTCTATACAGGATAAAGACCTAGATATGGTCTCAGCAGGTGTTGCGTCATCACTAGATACTGTTTCAAAGTTGGAGTTGTTACAGGTATGGATTCGGGGTGTCCTTCATGTTCTTAAATCTTGTTCCCAGTAATGTATGTGTCCTTTCACATGTGCGCAACAGACCAAATAATCTGCTTCTATAATTAAGGCCTTGCATATTCAAATGTATCCAACCTTTATGACTTGGTTTTGCTATTAATCTGGATCATTAACAACATGCTATGGCTACGAATGAGGTGGTTAATAGTATCTTAAGGATCTTTGTACTTGTGACAGGCTCCAGGGTTATCATTTTTGTTGCCTGAACAGTACTTGAACTATCCAAGGTAACACTGTTATACACACTATATTATATAGGAAGTGTCTCTTTCTTATTACTCCCTTCGTCGTGCTAAGATTGTCCCATCTTTTCTTTTTAGTCCATCCTACTAAGATTGTCTCATACCAAATTTGGTAAAGTTTGTATGGTTCTAAATCATCTTTGGACTTCAGTCTATGTTTACATTTCCACTCTATCCTTTTTAATCTATGGAGTACTATTTTATCTTCCCTTTTTGTGCACACAAACTACCTTTTCTTTCTTTTAGGGAGGTACATTTCGAAATCACAACTACTTCCTTTATTTCCTTAAAGCTTCCGTCCAATAAAAGTATCTCCTTTAAGGAATTTTTCCTATGTGTCTTTATCCCTACAAGTACCTAGTAAGTAGTAATGGTTTTAGCGTGTCAACTGGACAAAAATAGGCATTTCACAACTGAATTATTCAGGCTCACAGGAAGAGGGATGGTTGAATTCACTGTAAAGAAAGGAGATGGTTCAACGTTTTCTCCAGAAGCTGGTGGTGAAGCAAAGAGCACTGCAAAAGTTCAGGTGATGGTCGATTGGCCTCACAGGCTATTACTTTCTGCCATTTTGGATTGGAAGTTTCTGCTTCACATTGTCCAGATTTCTGTGGATACTTCCCGAGTTAACTTTTGCACAATGTCTGCTCAACAGTCCTTGATTCCCACTTTCTAGATAATAAATTCTTGAATTATGGAATCATTTTCTAAAAAAATATTCACTCCAAATTTGTTCCAGCCCAATTTTTGGGAATAACTGGTTATTGGTGATGGAATCTATTCAGGTTGTTTTAGATGGCTATTCAGCACCATTGACAGCAGGAAATTTTGCAAAACTGGTAAGGTAGTGAAATCTAACTTCATAATCTAAATTCATACAGTTTTGTTCCATTGTCTTTGCTATTAAACCCTTGATGTTTTCTGAATCATTACCACATATGTAGGTTTTGGATGGGGTATATGATGGGGTGAAGTTAAACTGTGCCAATCAAGCAATTCTTACAGAAAGCAGGCTGGGGAAGAACATTGGATATAATGTTCCATTAGAGATCAAGCCATCTGGGCAGTTCGAGCCACTGTACAAAACAACCTTGAGTGTGCAGGTCCATTCACTTCTCTAGTCTACTCTTTTGCAGGAAAGAATTCTTCAATATTACTACGTAATTACACATTTTTCAAATTGTTAATTTTAAGCTTACGGAAAAAATATCATTTTACTTTGAGGACAATATAATATTAATGCAATTACCAACCGTCAACTAGTCAGTGACCAATTGTCATTTATCAACACAGTTACTAACATGCAACTAGTCACTGTCGGTAGGTAATTGCGATGGTATTAATTTTTTATAAAATAAAAAAATTACGTTTGTCCGGTGGATATTTAATTAGTACTCCCATTAAGTTTGAGACAAGGGAAATGGCACATATATTAAAGAAAAGCATAATTGTGTGGTTGATATTCAGTCTGTAAACTTTTAAAGTAAAGATGATTATTGCTACCTCCGTCCCGCTATGATTGTCCCGTTTTACCTTATCGGCCCGTCCCACTAAGATTGTCCCATACCAAATTTGGCAAAGTTTGTGTGGCTCTAAATTAGTCTTACTTTATTTTTACTTTATCAATTCAATATCAACCCAGTGTTGTCAATCCCAGACATCGGAGCGGAGCGGCCAGCCTTGAAAACACTATAGCAGTATAGCGGATAGCGGGATGACCGCTATTCAGACTACTTTTAAGTATAATACATAATTAACTAGAAACATATAATTACATTAAATACACATTAGTAAAGTATGATATATGCCATTTAAAATTGCAAACATCTTAACATTCTTAAATCCTAAACAACTGGGAAATATTCCTTAGTTTCATGAGCAAAACATACGATGCTATTAATGATTAAAACATCTAAGTCAAAACATTGAATCAAAAACAAGTTCCTGGCTTACTTCTTGATATATTAATAGTGTATCAGTCTAGCACTGGAAAGAAACAAAGAGGAGTGTAGCATGTGTCATTCTTGTACAAGACGAAGGAGCACAAGTCGTTCTTGAAAGAGATGGAGCAGAAAAATTTGTTGAAGCAGAGGTCATCGCAGAACAGAGAGAAGAGAAGACATACGGATTTATTAAAACATGGAGCCGTTTTGAAGCGTTCTACACTTCTGCGTATGTATACAAGGGTTTTAAGTTGGTTTTAAAAGTCTACTTTACCCCTGTCCTTGGCGTAGTCAAAAAATAAAAGCAGAAAAACCCTAGCAAACCTTTGATCGCAAGAAGCGGCGCTATAGCGTCTGCCTCTACCTGTATAGCGCCACCGCTATAGCGCCCGCGAAGTCCGCTACACCCAAACGCTTCGCTACAGGAGGTCTAGTAGCGCCAGACCTCTCCTCCGCTCCGCTCCACCGCTATAGCGGCGCTATAGCGCGCGATTGACATCACTGTATCAACCACATAAACCACTTTTTATTGATTTGCGTGTCACTCCCTCTTGTCCCATTGTTAGCGGGACGGAGGGAGTATATGAGACAGACATTTCAGGATGAACCAAAATATAAATATTGTGCAAACGAAATGAGACGTTTGGACTTGGGAGTAACATTTAAGAAAAAATCATGTGGTTGTATAGACTACAGACATATATGGCTACCAGCCAGATAGTCTTTTTTCATATTGTCTTATTTATAATGCTCTACTAGTTTAATACGGAGTATATTGATCAGTAATAATAAAAAGTGAAAACTTTTTGTCCAAGGATGGGGAGCTTCCTGTGCTTCCATTATCAGTTTACGGTGCAGTTGCCATGTCACATAGTGATGTTTCTGGGGAGTACTCATCACCAAGCCAGTTCTTCTTTTATCTGTATGACAAGAGAAATGTAAGTGGCATTTATTTATTTATCACTAACACAGTCATAGTTCCAAGTTTACTACTCCGTACTTGTCATGCTTGCATCTTCCCCTTGTTTTTCGTTGGTTTTGCTTGATTCTAAACATACAAACTAAAATGAGTTTTCTTTACAGTCTGGCTTAGGAGGCATATCATTTGAAGAAGGTCAATTTTCAGTGTTTGGGTATGCTCATCAAAACACTTCATTTAGCTCAGATCATTTTTAATTGTGAAGCTCTAGGAATCATCTTAAGATAATTTGTGACCTTTAAAAAAGAAAAAGTTGTTGGATGTGTAGATATACTACTGCTGGAAGAGAGATTCTTCCTCAGATTAAAAGTGGCGATGTGATTCTCTCTGCGAAGCTCGTGGAAGGCCAGGATCGCCTTGTACTGCCGAACTAGAAGCTTTGAACACATGAAGTCAGAAAAGCACTGGTTCATCATGACAGGCTTTGCCACTTCTTCCATAGTTCCATTAGCTGTTTATTTGGACCAGAAGTAAGCGGTAGAAATCTTTCTGTTTTCCTGAAGAAGTTAAGAAACGCCATCTATTTTGTCTTTCCTTGTGCATCGATCTCTCTCTGCATGATCTGGATGATCAATTTATTTCACTTTTAAATACTTTAAGTGTGTAAAGATGTACTCTAATTTTTTGAATGCCTTCCCGATTGAAGTTTTAGTTCAAATTTGATATGAGTAAACTAGACTTAATGAATAAGATTCTCAAAAAAAATCATCAAAAAATTCCATCGGGAACCGTCCCAAATGGCGTCGGCCGGACAGAGCATCCTAATATTTTCTTTTGAAAAGATGATTAGAATTTAGAAGTCATCGTAAATTAAGTGACATATTTGATATTTATATTGTAGTGTTTCTTAAGGAGTTTTAAAAAATATTAATTAGAAAATTGAGCTTATGGAGATTGGAGAAATGTGGTGTTGATATGTGTTTACAAATATCTACTAGGAGTCTAGGACTTGGGTAAAGAACGTTGTTATTTCTCGTAGGTAGTCTTCTTTTTTTGGATGAAATGTAAATTTATATTAACATCCAAAGAAAACTATACATCAAAAGTTCTAGATCTCCTACCCCACCCCTACCTAGTGTAGGGGTTAGGAGAGGTTTTTGTTCGATCTAATCAAAATAAAAAAGAGGGGCCTAAGCATACAATACTAAATGCCCCAAAAGCTCAAAAACCAATCGGTGTTACAAGGTGCACACACACATCACAAACATACATCAATCGGACAAAAATGCAGGCCAAGAGGAGGTTATAATGCACACTCCCCTTAGCCCAAAAGGAAGTCAGGTGTTGTAAGGTGCACACACCCAAGTCCAATAAAGATGATGCAGCGGCTTCGAAAAAGGAGACATCATCCACCCATCAAAATTTTATCATGTCATGCGGGTATATGCTATATAGGATCTTATACACCACATGCTTGATCTTAGCAATCACATCTTCTTCCGTCTTCATTCCTCCATCAAATCGTATCTCATTTCTTGCATGCCAAATGTAGTAGACCGCGACACAGAATGCTAGACGGACAGCCTTGACCTTCATCGTTGATCCCTTGTGTGTCTTCATGATCCACTTGATTGCGCTGAGCATCGTTGTCAATTTGCGACCAATTCCAATCCAAGTTTTGATCTCATCCCATACCCTACAAGAAAATGGGCACAAGAAGAAAAGGTGTGGAATTGCTTCCAATCCACCCTTGCATAAGTCACACCTATTAACTATGTGGAGATAACCGAGGCTATCTTGTGTGGGCAGCCGATTTCTCAAGCCCAGTCAAACATTAAACGAGAATTTTCGGGGAATGTAGGACTTCCAAATGAAGCTCATTGGAGTCCTAGTGATCCCCTTTACTCGTAGAAGCTCATAGATTTTGGCCGATACTAGTTTCCCATTGATACTCCTAGCATTAAGGCTCATAATAGTTTCATTTAAATTATTAAAGCAACCTCGTATTTTGTCTCGTATTTGACTCAACCTCTTCATAAGTTGTGAGTCACGGCCGTGTGGGACAAATTCCCACACACTTTTATCCTTAAGGTATACGCCATTAACCCAACGAATCCAAAGGGTATCTTTCTTTTTGTGTACATCCCAAAGAGTGCGAGAAAGGAGTCTATCGTTCCAAGTACGGGCATTGTGAATGCCTAGACCCCCTTCTTATTTTGGAAGACATATGTCATCCCAAGCCACCTTCGCAAACTTTCCACCCCACAAAAACAGTCTACAGATGGACACTATCCTATCCAATATAGTTTGTGGAACCGGGAAGATTTGGAGCCAAAACGATTGGACCCCTTGAATCACCGATCGAATTAGCTCAACTTTTCCGGCATAGGATAGTGTTTTCGTGTTCCACGCATTTAGAAAATCCTTGACCATGTCGAGTAGGGGTGCGTATTGTGCAACCGATATCCTTAGCGGGGCAAGTGGTATTCCAAGGTATCTTACTGGGAATATTCCTTGCCCATAGTCGACAATGTTTAAAATGTTTTGTAAATCTAGGTCCTTCACCCCTCCCAAGAAAATGTTCGATTTTTCATGGTTGATCCTTAGGCCGGATGCCTCTCCAAACTCTTTGAGAGCGTTGACCAATATTTCTATGGAATACGTGTCGCCTCTCGAGAATAGCAAAAGGTCATCGGCATATGCTAAATGGGTGATGCCCAACGTAGAGCATTGCGGGTGGAAATTAAAATTCCTCCCTTTGGTTCTCACGGTGAGTAACCGGGAGAAATATTCAAGGCACAAAATAAAGAGCAAAGGGGACATTGGATCCCCTTGCCTAATTCCATGGTTGCCTTTGAAAAATCCGTAAAGCGATCCGTTTAAGGAAACCGAGAAGGTGACAGTTGACACACACTCCATAATCCATGCAATAAATCTATCGGGAAAGCCCAAACCCCTCAAGACTTTGTCCAAGAAATCTCATGAAATCGTGTCGTAGGCCTTTCGCAAATCTACCTTGATCATAAATCTTGGTGAGATTCGTTTCCTATTGTATCATCTAACAAGTTCCTGGGCAAGGAAAATGTTATCAAACATTAGGCGGCCATCCACAAAAGCTCCTTGGGCTTGATTAACCAGTCCCGAAAGACACGGGGTTAATCGAGCCGCAATTATTTTTGTTATAATTTTATACAATACATTCGTGCATGAGATAGGTCTATAGTCCAACACTTTTGGGGAGTGATTAGTCTTAGGGATAAGTGCTATAACAGTATGATTGATCTGTTTGAGCTACTTACCTGTTAGAAAAAATTCCTTAATCGCTTGGACTATGTCATCCCCAATAAAACTCCAATTGGCCTTAAAGAAGGCCGAGGTAAACCCATCCGGCCCCGGTGCCTTGTCATCCCCAATATCAAACAAGGCATCTTTAATTTCCTTGTTTGTAATCGGAGCAAGTAGGCTATCATGAACACTTGGTTGAATCAAAGGACCGGTTCCTAAAACCAATGGGTCAAGGGGTAGGTTTACCTCGCTAGTACCAAATAAATCCAATTTTTTTTTACAAATTCATCTCCAACTTGATCTAAATAAGTAGTAAGACTACCGTCCTCCAATGCTATGGAAGATATGGCATTCCGCGTGACGTTCCTCTTCACAATAGCATGGAAATATCTTGTACCTTTGTCCACCTCGAGAATGTGAGTGGCCTTTGATTTTTGTTGGTAGAAGCTTGTTTCGGCTTCTCCAAAAAATGTAGCCTTTTTCCTAGTAGCCTCTAATTGCAACTTTAAATCATCCAGGGGCGAAACCAGCCACAATTTATTTAATCTTTTGAATTCCTCCTTTGCTCTCTTAGATTTCATCGATATATGCCCATATTCCATTGCATTGAGGTTCTTTAGTGGCCTTTTGAGCAACTTTAGCTTCCTCACAATTGAGCAACTTTAGCTTCCTCAATGAATTGGCTCCAACTTTGTGCAACTATGTTAGAGAAATCATTAGTAAAAAGCATAATATCAAAATCATACCAATCTTTGGTCTTCTTAACCGCTGGGAGAGAAAGTAAGCATGACTCGGTGAAGAATAAACCCGGTTCCTCACAAGACACCCATTGGAATTGAAATCCCATTTTTACCACTTTCACCTTGTTTGGTATGTCATCCAAAGGCATTACAAAGACCACTTTTTTCTTCCTTTCATCCAAGAATACTCCGGTGACAACGTCATCAAACATCATTTGATGCATATTATGAATTAAGTGACCCTCCGTCTCAACCACAGTTTCTTGTGTGACCTCTACACCGGTTATTGGATCCCTTCCTGGCAGCATGGTGTAGGCCTTGGTTTCTTGCGTTTTTGTGGCCTGGGGAGTGCTAGCACCAGCCACATTTGTTTGTGAAAGATCCTTGGCAAATTTATCAAAAACTTTGGACCGCTCCATAGCTTGCAAATATTCCTTGTTATGCCTAGAATTCACATAAAAAAACAAGCAACATTAAGGATAAAAATTTGCCTATTAATAGTGTACCAAAACTTTGAGCGTTTGACCCCCGGGAGAAATACAAGGCATGGATCCGTGAAAGCAATAGCTGGTGCATCCTTGTGTGCTTCTCGTTTTAGATCCATCCCAACTCTAGCCACGGAGATGAGGCTCTTTATTTGGTACCACTTTTTAACCCACGCTTCATGCCTTCCATCTTCTTTAGTTAAGAACTTAGTAACAATTGGGATGAGTACAAAAACACCACATACAAAATAAGACTACCATCTCACTAGGATGGTTTTTAAAGGCTCTTTATACTAATAAAAGAGAATTTACCCTTATTGAATTTAAATTGATAATATAACTTTCAAAAACACCAAAAATAAATTATAAATTCAAAATTTAAAAATAATAAATTTTTTGAAATGTACTTGTGTCCGATTCTCACTTTTATTGTTTGTATATCACAATTTAATATTGTTAGTATACATTATTATTTCAAAAATTTACTATATGTTTAAGATTTTTTTCGAAAAAGTGTTAACATATGTGTTGCAATGTAAACAAATATTAAATTTTTTGCATACTTTGCACTATAAAATTATACATTTTGTATGATGATAAATGGTCCAAGATTACAAAATACTGAATTTAATTTTATTAAGGTTAAATAAAATCAAAGAATGTTATTTCAAAAAATGTAACAATGTGTTCAAAATTTCGCAACAAAACTAAAATAAAAAGTAATTAATTTGAAGCGCTTCATTTACAACGGAAAAATAATAATTTTGCAATTTGAAATTAAAGAGTTAATATTTTAACATAATAATAAATCTTAATTTTTAAATTTCGAATTTACAATTTTAGTTTGGTGTTTTTGGAAATTTATTTTATCTATTTAAAGTTAATAAGGGTAAATTTGCTCCTTTATAAGAACATGAAGGGTATTTTTTCACTTTTTAAAAGTTCAAGGGTATATATGCACTTCAAAATATGCTTCAGGGGTATATTTGTCCCGAAGAATAGAACAAGGGTATACTTGTTATGATAACCATACTACAGGGGTATATTTGTACATTTTCCCTGTTTAATATAATGACACCATTATTAAATATGAAACTGTTGGGCTTTAATTTGCAAGTATACAATTGCCATTATAGTAATAAATAATATAAGGGTGGTGAGTTTTGTTTAATTATATGAATATATGATAAAATAATCAAGACATCGGGATTCACCTAAACATTTATTAGAGTTTAGTATAAATTCATT